CAGCTAAGACAAAAGCAAAATATATTTTGTTCTAAATGAAGGCACACAAAACGTGATAAAAGAGCCAGAAACATTTAGAGATTATCCGTGGTAAGCAATAAGTTACAATACAGCACATTCCATCGACAAGGATAATGTAGGTTATCTTACATGTGAAAACGAAAGAGTATAAGGATACATTAACTAAAATACTGAGAGCATTTAATAAGAAAATATCTTAGAATGACAAAACTTTACTGAAGCTTTAATTTAATTTATAATCCAAAGAGAAAAATATGCTTTGTTCAATAACTAGAATAATGTGGCTAGCGGGAGTAAGTGAAAAAATCATCGTAACACTGCCGTGCGAAGGGATTCTGATTAGTATGAATATCACACGAACTGATTTGGCCATCTAACAATTATTTAAGGTGGGGCTAACTTGGCGCCATAGAACCCCATGTTTGCATGCCCCCCCCCCCCCCACACACACACACACACACTCACTCACTCACAGACACTCACCTATTTTATCTGTAGCTATTGCATAGTCGTAAACAAACAAAACGAAATGTTACAATCCTCCACGAGTACAAATTAAGATCAGAGTTGTTATAAACCGTGATACAGACGTTTGAAAATAGTCTTCCTTGGTGAACAGGGTGACGCAAAATACGCATAAGCATCGTTTACTGCTTGAAATTCGAATAAATTGAGAATCAGGGTAGGACTAAATAAAGCGGGTTTAATAAAGCAGGCCCATACAAAAGTAATGAAATCAACTTAAAGCTGTTAATGTTACACTACAAAAGTATGGTACCGTATTTTGGCATGTCACCCGTTCGAACTAGCACGGGTGAACGCGCCATTACTTGGTAACGTCAGTTCACCCCATACACAAGGAAGTGTACCGCGACAGGACTTGATCACACTTAAGATAAAAATACGCAACAAAGAAAAAAGTTCAGCTAGAGGTCTGCCATATATAATGAGCCGAAGGAAGCGTTTCATCCTATACAGGCGTTAGAGTGAAAACTGAGTAAGATTGATTCTCCTGAACAGATTAATGCAGAGTTCACTTAAAGAAAAATGCGGCCCGCTTATTGGCGGTGGAATATAAAGAGACTTTGTAGAAAAATAGGTAGAGCGGCAGTGAATTACTTTAGTGTTACGATCTGGTTGTATTACTAACGATATCGGGCGGTGTGGTCAGAAAATGCACACCAAATAAGATATATTCTATCAGTGAGCCAATATTGTTTATGTTACTACCTGATATTATGCTGCTATAACTGTCAGGAAATACTTATCAACTTAGATGCTTATTATTAATGGCCGAACATTCAACGTGAGCCCAATTTACAATGTATTTAGTTGATCGAAGCATAACAAGTAACAATTAGAATTCCTCCGTCTTTCACGCAGATAAAAAAGGCCATTTACCTTGTGGACTCCACTATTATGTTTGTAGTTTATTATAGCAGTGTTTTACAATAGTTCTGGTATGCTGAAATGGTTTAATACCGTCTTACGTTTATTGACCTTAGCGATTCAAACACGCACAGTTGTACCTACAACAAACATATAAATATCGTTGATTATTATAAGATCGAGATGAAAGAAATCGATACATCAAAGTTTTACCGACATAACTGAGTTATCTTAGACTCTGCAGGCCTGTACTCGAAGGTTTAGATACGAAATCTTATCAGAATTCCAACGTCTTAACAAACACCTGCTCAGTATTTTATTTTAGTCCATAAAAATTCTACATTGTTATGTTCCCCTTCAAAAAAAACAAAAAGAAAAAAAACGGAATTACTTGAAATTTAAGATCCAAAGATTCAACAAGCGCCTTTATCTACCTTTACTGAATTAAGATATCTCCCCGTCATGATGCTTTTGGCCAAAGTCTGAATTCTTTCGTGGAGTCAGGTGTTGTTTCTTGTCATAACCACATTGGAGCCAAGGAAGGAAGAAAGACGGGATTCCCAGAGATTCCCATCTCTTGCATGTTTATGATTACACCGACCTTGATGCAAAACCACTCGTGTAAGTCTTACTTGCCACGCAAACCAATCTGTCAACACCTGGCCAAAGTTTACATGGAGGGCAGCATCATCTTTGGACAGTACAGGTTACTTGGCACTGATTCTTCTTCTTCTTCTTCTTCTTATTATTATTATTATTATTATTATTATTATTATTTTTAAAAAACCAAAGTAACTTTTTTTGCTTACTGATTGCAACAGATCAATAAAGTCAATAGCGGAGAGCAAATGACATTACAATAGCATCGTCTTGGGTCTTAGCATGAGACCTCAGTGTAAAATTTAATAATTTCATACAGAAGGAGCCGGTGCTGACAGTATGTATGTTACATTTATTCCATCGCCTGTTCTCCAAGAAGAGTATATCTCTGTCATTTCGTTTTCTCATTTTGTAAAAAATCTTTACTTATTTAGTCGATAAAAAAAACAATTACGACTGTGACGCATGTTATGGCACGTGATGTCAGATACTGTTCGTCTTAATTCATGCATTTCTATTTGAAATATACATACCTTTCAGATAGCTTTCAACAATGTTACAAAATCCATATTGCGTGCATAAATCCGAAGTGGGCATTAAATTCCCTTCATTTTAGAGGTATGTAAAATGTGGCCAATTACTGGAGGGCCGTGGAAGAAAGTTCACGAGAAAAAACAACGAACACTACTAAAATGTGGGAGACGATTATATTGATTTCCGGCCAATAAGCATCCAGTCTTCATGAGTAATTGCATTAAATAACATATGAAGAAGTAAAAAAGTAAATAACATAAAACAAAGTCATTTAAACAACTGAAGACTGTATACATGTTTGCACTATTATTTCTTCACAGATAACATTAATGTCATTCAAGCAAACAATTTTTTTCAAATGTGTACTGAAAACGTCCAAAAGAGGAACTTTCATTCATCTAAATGTTAGTACAAACAACAGCCCCAATAAATCACATCGTTACACGGTTAATAAGCCCCATGATATCAGCAAAAGGAGTAGCACGGCAGATGCGTGCAAGCAAAGGTGACTCTTGGTGACCCACGCTTTTTTCTGAAACGACGCTTACTATCCAATCAGACTCGCCAAAATCGCCTTCCACGTGCCGGTGTCGTCTGCTCTATTATTTACATTGTCTCAAATTGCAGAGATAAGCAGAAGATCGTCAGGGGTTTTTATTCAAGCCCAGTCGACCTCAACGTCACCAGTTCTTTGGTGTCAATTGTCTTCTATCTATGCCCCCGGTTAAAGTCTTAAATCTCCAACATTTTAAAGAAGGTTCAGTTCTCTATGCACTTTATTCAACATTTGATCCCCTTGCAGATTTTACAAAAATGTCTTTTTTCTCTTTTTGATAAGGAATTAATTTCCGATGGAAACACGTGCCTTGGTTTTTTTTCTCTTACGATAGCATCTACAGCAAAAATGCTCGGACGATCCCTATCGTATTATACCTAAACACAGCTCGCATTAGGGGCAACATTTGGTTAAAATTGTAACTTAAAACATGCTTATCGCGCCATGACTCCGAAAGTAGTAGCCAGGTTCTTGTATTTGAATCAATCTTTGTTGCTCCACTGACCATAACCTATAGAACGAGTCGGGCTCGTGCAGGGGAATTGTTCTCCTAACCACAGCTTCGTTCAGCGTGTAGGATCTTCCCCAGCAATGCACATGAAGAGTATAAGCAACATTATCGGGCGGATTGCAGTAATAAATAGATAAACACGAAGCTCTTTGTAAACAAGGTTAAAGCTGACTTTATACTAACTTATCAGCAGTGATGCCGATTATATGAATGTTGCAACACTCTCATCTATTGTGCCGTTACATGGTTGATACTTTCTAATATGTCATTGAGCTGACATCTTCACGAAGTACATGTCGCCGTGTTACGCTGCAGACTGGTGAATTACTTAAGGAGGCAGAAATGTAATACTTCACTGATTTAAACTGAGCCAATTTCGGAAAGTTATCGGACAAAATTAAGCTCATGGTGACATGTTTAAGTTAGCATAGCCCTTTGTTCCATGCACGTTCGGTGACACTCAAATGCTGTTAACCCATGCGTTGTATGAATTTATGCAATACGTTTCCGACAAAGTTTGAATCATACTCGGGATTCAATCGATTATTTTAATTTTCATTAAACAAACTGCAATTATGCATTGAAAAAAACTACATAAAAATAAGACATTGAATGATAAATCATCGTAGTCTTTAGAGATACTGTTTATCATATCTAGCAGGCACGCGTCGGCATCGGTTAAGTTTAGATACCACGCAAACACGACTTTGATTTATTGGCAAGTCGGTTCTATAAACCTACTGACTCCACTCGTGTGACAACTTTCATTGAATTTTAAAGCCCTGTGTCCCACGCCTTTGGTTTGAATCATGCAGGTAGTAAGCGTCTTTGCTGGAGTTTTAGTGCGGTGCATATCATAATGCCCCCATTTTATCCCCCGGCCTGTTGTCCCATCTGCCTACGTCTAGGTGAAGATGGGCTTGAACGATCACGCGTCAAAACATGGTCTAAGAGAGTTGAGGAACTGCAGCTTTACCTTAGTTTGAAGAAAAGACACAGTTCAATAAAGCAATGTGGCTGTATAAGACTTCATTGAAAAGATTGGATTTCTTAGTGAGTGGATTTAATTCGGGGTTTGTCGCCCTTTGCCGACTACCTGTAAAATCGCGAGTGCGTTGCTAGCCAGATGGCTAAGCATTCAGGAGGTGAGAGGTGGGCGCACACTCGCCGTTGTTTTGTGAAGTTATGGGTCAAAGAACCCCATTCATATTCAAGATTGTAGAGAAAAAGGTCAAAAGATAACGGAATGGATTAATATTGCTATACAGGAACGACCACATATCATGTCTTTCTTCCAGTTTGCCGAAGATATATTCACCATATGTCGTGTTTTGATACAATAAGGTGAATAGAAAACAACTAGCACAAAATATCTTTTAATTTGGCAGTTTAATTCGCTGGTAATCGATTGCATATGTTTAGAAATATAGATATAACAAGCTTATAAATATAGAAAATCAGACATATTTACAAAATTACAAGATTCAATTTTCTTAGCTAAAATAGTTTGCTTTATATAAAATAGCATATATCCGCAGTTTGTTCGCCCTCTACGTCGTAAGTACAACCTGTCTCAAATCAAGGTGTGAAATTCGTGAAAATTCTTGTGAATAATTAGCATGGAAGACAAACGATGTAAGTAGAGAAAAGGTAAGTTTTTAGCGCCGTTCAAGTGTCGTCTGCCTGCAGAGATTGGAAGCAAATTGGAAGACATACAAAAGCGCGTGTCTAAGGAAGCAATTTCAGTACATATATCACAACTTCTTATCACAACCAAGTACTTCTCGCAATTTTCAGCTATCAGTAGAACTTATTTTCTTTAAATATTTACAAAACCGATAAGTCCTTCATAAAGCTCGTATTTTTCACACACAATGCATGTCTCATCAGTTCATATGATAATTAAAATTGGCAGTTGCTTGCATAAGTTCGATAATTTTTTTTTCGCGTGCGCCGGCGTCCGCTTCGTTTTGGCAGTAATCAGGCTTTAGGTGTTTTCTTCCACAGGAAGAGAAAGACCCAGGCAGCATGGCATCAGAGAATCGTTGTATTGTTGAGTTTCACATGACTCTTCTTAAGCACTTTGATCTAATCTGTAAAAAAAGAAAAAAATTTAATTTGCCATGAAATATATCTTCCTTTTACTCTATGTAATCGAGCCGAGTTGGCACGTGCCAACGAGATAAAAAGATCCGTCTGCAAATAAAAATAAGTTCAGGCAAACACAGCGCTTTATCAATATGAGGAACAAGCGATCGAAACGATAACACACATATTGCAAACCAGTAATGCATCGGAAAAGGCCCTAATACACTAAAAGTCATGAATAAGTAGATTGGCTGAAATAATTGCATTTTAGTCTTTGAAAGACAAAGACCAAGTATGTAAAGTAACTCAACACCTTATTCAGACGAAAATAAGATTAAGTGAAACAAAGTTTTTAATATACGATTATTTCCGCAAATATGGGCGGTCTGCTTTTTTGAAAAAATTCTGTGTGAAATGAAATATTGCAGAAGGTGTGATTGCAGTGCACTGTTTGGAGCGTGTCAGCGTTTACTTTTTGTTAAGCGAAGTAAGTCTGATCAATCGTGACGCTCTCCTAGCCAGGCGAAGTGTGGAACAATCTAAACAACCATTATCGGTTCAATTTGCTTTAGCTTTCCTGTCAATTTCCATTTGCTGCACAATGTCAACAAACACAGCCATTCATGCTCAAGGTAAACATTGACTAACTGTGTGAATTTTGCTGCCATTGTCGAATTCTCTCTCCCGTGTATACTTTTCGGCAGTATGAATACATATCAAAATTTCAAATGAGGACCATCAAAATAATTATCTTACTACATCTCCAAAATACCGAACTTCGTATCAAGAAATAGAAACGGTCCTTGTTTATTAATAAATTAAACTTTAACTGTTAAAACTCAAATTCAATCAAATAAATACGAAAAACTTACCAATTTATTCGAACCAGCTTGCGAAGTCTAATAAATCTTCTTCTTCGGGACTGAAGTGGGCCTCCGAGTCGGATGTCTCACTTGGTGCGGGCGAGCGACTTTCTTGTGACGAGCCGGGCGAATGGCAGCTTGAGACCGACGCGTGCCCTTGACTGAACGCCGCATTCACTGCATCATTTTCATCTAATAGGTCTTGTAACTGCTTGATGTATTCTGCAGCCGATCTTAGTGTCTCAACTTTGCTCAGTTTCTTATTTTTTACACTATTAGGAACATGGTCTCTTAATGTGTGAAAACAGTGGTTGATGAGACGGACCCTATTTCTTTCACGTTGATTCCTCCGCGCGACCGCGGCTGGACGAGGTTTTTCTAGCCCGAATTTTGAAAAGTCTAATCTTCTCTTACAGCGCAGGCTTGATGTTTGGCTGTTTCCGCCGGGTGACGCTGGCTCAATTTTTTTCATGGGTCTCAGTGGAGGGGTTGGGGTTAGATTTGAAGCATTGGAGGTCGTAAATGTCGCACCTGCTGCCGAAGGCGAAGTCGTCAGCAAAAGATAGTTGTTTTGTTGCTGCGTTAATTTTTCCGGCGAAGTACATGTCGTGATGGTGGTAACAGGGATCAGTGTGATACTATTCCCGTTTGCAAACGCCGCTACAGGCAGAAGGTTAACGGTGTGAGCAGTTCCCGAGGACTGCGCCATCGTTGGATGGAAGCCCAAGAAAAAAGTCTACAATATTCCTGCACCTCTAAGGCGTGTGCCAAGCGCGTGCGCTCCCGAGACACGGAATCGTCTCACTAACAATGAAAACCTTTAAATTTTACTTCACCTTTTGAGCCACTCCACACTAGAGGAGGCGTGGTTTTGGAGCGCGATAAAGTTTATTCAGTAGCCTAAACTCCGCCCTAACGGACCCGGGCTGTCAGTCATTGCGTTACTTGCTCGTGCGCGACGTGCGACACTGTGGTCTACCTGAGGCTGGGATGAAAAGAGTGATGGGTCGGTAGTCAGGTCAATGCGTTCCCTGCTTTAATATGTCGTGGTCTACAATTTTTTCCTTTCTTTCATGCGTGACAATCCACTCTCTTTGGCGCGCCACATGATTGTGAAAAACAGTGTGAAGCTAGAACTACCTGCTCTGAATAGTGACGCCAGGTGAAACAGAACGCTGCGCCCGTTTGATAGTCTCATCACGTCTCTTGAATAGCCAACAAAATCTCGAGAAAAAAACACCTCGTCACTTTTTATATTGTTAAAAGTTTAATATCTTCCAGCAAGCTGATGTTGAAAGTCAATGTAGAAAACGCATTATCTTGTGAATCACTAGACCTCTTCCAGGTATTTACAGTTAAATCGTTTGATATTGACCACAAATTAAGGATTGAAATTGGAGAAAGAGCAGGGAAACAAAGAAATGCCAATCAAGATCTAGTATATCGATCTTTTGGGGTTGAAAATCGGAGTAAATATGGTTGACCTTTGTTAGAAAGTGACAGAACAATGACAGACGCATTAGATAGGTTACGATGACTACAACTAGCATTTGTGTGAGAGTTACGTGTGTATTAAAGTAATCTTTTCTATAATACTACAAACCCCATGTTTTATTTGCTAGCACGCCATGTGGTACACGTAGAACATGGCTTCACTGAAGACACTTTGAAACAACATTTTAATATTCAGCAGAAAGAGTCTATTATAGCGTGTATCAAACGTACCGACTATGTTACACCCCACTGTCATTGCTGTAACCTACACAACGTTTAACATGATTTGTATTTCATCGCCGCGGTATAAATCTAAAATTATCTAACCCTTCCATCGTCCCCGCACAGGTATTCACGGACAAAGCGGACCCCGTTATTGGACTAAATTTGTTTTACTTTTCAACGTCCCACCTATTTTGAAAGCCGCGACACGTGCCTGAGTACCTCACACAGAAAATTGATTGTGATAAATTTCATGAAAGTGGAAAGCAACACAAACATGGTGCAGTAACCAAATGATATGGCGAGAGCTTCACGCCTTTAGTGTCGTTGCCTAGCAACCGAAGAATGGGCGCTCCATACATGCTTTTTGTCTGCATTAGGATCGATAGACTCTTATGTTTAATATCTTAAAATGTATTAGTGTTATCAGATGATAGATAAAGACCCTCATCACACCAGAACACTCACATATTGGATTCTGTGTGTCGTCGTGGTATTTTACTTTCTTTGATATGTTCTTTCTGTCTGTCTTCCTTTATTCCTTCTTTCTTATTTTCTTTTTTTGTTCCCATATGTAAAATGTACTGGCTAACTTTCATGTTTTTCTTTGAAATTTCCTCTCTTTTTTAGATTTAAATTTATCTTGTGTGTAATTTAGCCTACTTATTTCATGTTTCTTTCTTTTTCCTTTTTACTCATGTTTCGAAATTCTTTATTGAATACATAATTATCTTCCGGTCGAATTCACAATCAACACTCCTTACTAAATGAGCAAATTACGTGCATTGCATCATATTACACGTTACACCATGTTTGAACATCTATGATATACACTTTGTCAACATAATCGAGCACAAAAGAAATCGTTAAATTGGTCATCACTTTTGAAGGTTAAATTACACGCCAACGAAGTAGGAAGCCATCTCTTGTGGATAACAAGCACTGTACGTGTATTTGACAGGCACAAACAAAGAGCAAAAGCACGTTGGGAGGGAAAGACAAAGAGGTATAATGATATCTCTTTTTGGTGCGCGTGTGTGATACGGTGCCTCACTTCCTCTCCGCCTGCCTTCACCGCGACGTAATCACCGTTCCCTTCGCGTCTCGATCCCAAATGACAATTACATTACACGGATTACGTTTTAGATACGAGGATAGGGTATAATTTGTGACAGCGATAAGGGTCCCGTCTATTTTACGCCAGCTTGTTACGTAGCAAAACATGAACTGAAACAAAGCTTATTTTTGACAACCTTCAACCTGTCATTCACAGGGTCGGTGGTCCGGAGTCAACTACGGGGTTTTTTTAAAGGAAGGCGGGTAGGGCGGAGTGGTGGACACAGAACCCAGACAGACTGGAGTCTCGACGCCCTCCAGCCAACTCCCTACATGATGACTTCATGCAACTGCAAATTATTAAAATATCTATCATTAGATTTTATGGCAGAGAGATGATATCGGTGAGTCGCAGTGTCCAATATGCTCTAATAGGTGCTCTACACCAGTAAAACTTAAACGTATGGCCTTCACTTTGAAAACTGTTATTAAATCCTAAGCTTCATCAGACAGTGCAAAGAAACCTTTTGACTGAGATGTCATGCAGTTTCACTACTTGTTACAGAAAAACCTATCCACTTGATTCAGAGCTTTTTATTTGTCCCTTCAGCGATAACAAAAGTAACAGCATTATCTATTGAAAATGTTCCATTGTGTAACTTCTTGAGCCGACTACTAAACCCGCCCGCAGTGATATAAACTCGCACCTCAGCAGCTGAAGTAAAAACTTCCTAAGTTGACTCATAGTCTCATATTTGTGCTGCTAGTTGGCCTGATTGTGCAACCACTTACTTCACCTCGCTTATTTCACCGATTGCTCTTTAAGGATTTACAGCCAAGCTACATTAAGTTAGAATAACGTTGTTTGCGGTGGATACGTTGTGCTTTAGGTACGTGATTATTGAAAACAAAACGACTTAATTTCTTTTTTTAAGAGCCAATCTTTTTCGGTTTTAAAAGATGACCAGGTGTGAATAAAAAAATGTAGTGTGTTTTGAAATAAAAAAAAATGAATGGATTTTGCTTCCCTAGCACAGTAACTCCAAATTCTGGCTTTCTTCGGACGAATATTTGGGAATGAAAAATGCGTTGTAAGAAATGTGATTTATTTTGATGAATTAAGTGGCAGCTCAGTTGACAATATATAATCCGTGGGCACTTAATCCGTTTCACAGCAAGCAAAGGTAATCATGACACCGGGAGTGCAACGTAATACCGTGATACGTTTTCGCTGAGGATTTTCACTAAATCCTTGTAAATTGATATAGTGAAAGTTACTTCTGTCTGTTTTGGTATAGGCAGACTGTTTGCTCTCTGCGCGCCTCCACAGGGCATTCCTTGACAATGCATACACTAACGGCAGCAACAATCATCACGCAGGCTCTTGTTTACTTGGCACTCAGCTGGCCAAATCATCGCGACAGGTTTGTAAACAGGGCTTAGTGCACAGAATAGCTGTCGTGGGATGTCTCTATCAAATGCTGTGATATCATCAGTGGATTCAGACCGTGCTCGTGTTGAAATAATCGAGAGGAGAGTAATGTGTAATAAAGTTACAAAAGGCAATGAAAACATTCATGTAATAATATTTTATCAATTTAATTAAAACTTGTTGAGATTTTCTCTGCTGAAAATCCCAGCATATTTGTTGTATTTGAAAGATATTTGCATTATTGAAACTGTAATTGAAAATGGATGGAAATGATAATCTTTCATTTTTTGTTTCGTTATTTAAATTTATGCTAGATTTATACATGATAAAAATCCTCAAACGATATACAACACTAGATGTCCATTCACATTGGTTCCTGCTACATTGTATGCAACAAAGAAACTGCAACGCCTATAAGATACTTTCCTTTACGATCTTTCCACATCTTGCCGCGCCTCTTAGGCCTACGCCCATGATTGAGGGCGTCATACCAGACGCCCGTTTGTTGCCAGCATAGCAACCTTGAGTACAGACGCTATTGTTAAGTTAATATTTTCAGGTTTGTTCACTTAGCTTCGGACGCTTTTTTAAAGTATGTTTAAAGCTCTCAAGTTTAATCCGACAGTCACGAGTACCCCCTAGTCACGAGGGAGCGAACCGCCGCACCTAGCTATGCCCCTACTGGTTTTATAAGTTAAAAATTGAATTCCTTTAACTTGATCCCGCTATATCTTTCGATCTATCATAAAAAACCATTGTTGGGTTGGGTCTCATATTCATTTCCTTCCTTTTTCAAACGCTAGATCTATAACGCCGGGGATATTGGATGGCCTTCACTGTTCACCAATTCTTCCATTGAAAAAATCACCCAAAAGAACCCGGCTAAGATTGTTTGCAAACATGTATTTATCTTTCATGAATGAAGATAAGGCGGTGAATGGCATGTTTTTCAATACTCTGGAACGACATGCAATGCTAGTGAATGGAAAAATGAACAAGAATTCCTCAAGAATAAAAAAGTTAACCCCATCCGAACCTCTTGCATTTCAATTTCCACTAAAAAGATATGAAACGAATGCGGGTCTGATGATAAAAAACTGGTATACATACACTGCTGGCAGCTGCTTAATTAAGTTTCACATTTGAACTTGAGAAAACTTTTTGAATAAGATCCCATATCAAACAGCTGTGTACCCCCTATAAGCTTAGAATCTCGTTTAAATCAATACAAAGGCTTTGACAACAAAGGTACACTTCAGTACCTGAAGAAACAAACATCGAAAAATGGGTGTGTACACAGCGTCAGCTGGGACCCGTCTTTAGCTATTGTGATTTCCGTGTTGGAGTTAGTGTCCACAACACCACCATTAAACACGCCTGTTTTAAACAGTTTGCTTACGGTGCCCTGGGTTCTCATCGACGCTTTTTGGTTGTTGAATAGGTGGTGCTTTTTCCACTCTTATTACATGTTTAGGATGCTGTGCCCACCAGAACACGAATACTCACCCCTCCTGTATTGATTCAAGAGTACCTAAGAGAACATTTGAGACACGCGTGTAGGTTGACAAGGAGCACAAGGCTTGTGTTAGGGGATCAAATTGCGGTGTGGCTTACCGCGTGGCGCGTG